TGTTTTGATTACTACAGCCTTATAATAAAGTTTGAAGTCTGGTAAGTTGATACCTCCCATTTTGTTTTTATTGCCTAGTATTGTTTTTGCTATGTGGGGTCTTCTCTGGTTCCAATTTATGGCTACTTTTAAGGCTTAATTTAATCTGGATTAATTTAAATTAAAGATACAATGCTTGGTATGATTAGAATTTGCTTTGCATTTAAAAATATTAATGATCTTTATTATGATTTTATATTTTGTAATTCATAGGAAAACAATACTGCTCAAGAGTCTAAATATTTGAGATAGAAAAACACTGGACTGAAGTTGAGGGGATCTGGTACAAGTTCTGTCTGTGCACCTAGATCTGTATTTTACATGTTTTGGGAATACAGCAGGCAAAGTATTTTCATAGAGCTTATAATCTAATGATGGGGAAACATATAATAAATAAGTAAACACAAATTTTAAATAAGTGATACGAAGAAAATAAAGGAGGATAACAAAGTAAAAATTGACTCGAAGGGGTCTGTTTAAGAAGGTGGTATTTGAGCTAATACACAATCATAAGAGCCAATTTTGGTGTAATAATCAGGTAATAGGAATAGAAAATATAGGCATTTCAGATGGATTACTCTTGACCCCAATTTTAGAAATTTAAAGAAATTTGGAGCTTTCAGTTGAGACAGAATTAAATTTACACATAGAGGCCACTTTCCGTTGCAGACACATAGCAGTAATACAAGAGAGAAAATTAAAATGTCAAGCTGTGTGTTACTTTGTTTTTAACCAAACTAAACATATCTCCAAAAGAAAAGCAAAATAGAAACAGAAATCAATGAGTGGAGACAGAAGCCATAATCCTGCTGAGCTTTGTAGTGGATAGTGATTTCTTTAGTAAGACACAGAAAGTCATAAGGAAACAATTGGGTAAATTCTACTACATTTTAAATTTACAGTGCATCAAAAAGCACCATATACAAAGTGAAAAATGATAAGGCTGAAGAAGATATGTGTGGTAAATGTAACTGAGAAAGAATGAGAATCTAGACTATATAAGAACTCCTTACAAATCAATTAGAAAAAGACAACCCAATAGGAGAATAGTCAAAGGATATAAATGTGCAGTCCATAGAAAGAAAACCCAAATAACCAATAAACATAGGAAAAGATATGTAGACTCATTAATTATTGGAGAAATGCAAGTTAAAGGAATAGTGAGATACCATTGCACCCATCATATTTTCAAACATTTAAAAATCTCACAATGCCAATGATAGACAAGGTTGTGCAGCAACAGGATCTCTCATACATGGTGGATGGGAGTGTCGGTTACCAAGGAGAGCAACTAGGCAAAAATATGGTAAAGCTGAAGAGAAACCACCTAGAATTCTATAGATATATATAGATATATAGAGAGGAGACATAAAAAAATATCTATTTTTCAGGGTAGACAGCTTACAGCTTATTGCAGCATTATTTTAGTAAAATATTTTATATTATATATAATGTAAATACTATCCAGTAGGGGTGTGGAAAATAAATTGTTATCTACTTACACAGTATAATGCCATGTATCAGTCAAACTGATTACACTAGAGCTACAAATATTAATAAAGATAAATCTCAAATATGGTTGTCCCCCTTTATCAGTGCTTTCACTACTGTATATAGCATTGAGAGAAAAAAAAGCAAGTTGTGGAATGATACATAGATAATAGTATGATACTATGTATAGGTTTAAATCACCTAAATATTTATTTTGTGCATGGGTACAGTAGACATAGTAAATATATAAAAACATACAGAAGTGTAGACAGTTTCAATAGGCAAAAGTGTTCTCCTTAAAAAAGAAAAGAATTCTGAAGCAAATACAGAAAAATGTTGATATGGGTGGTTAGTACATAGATGTTCATTGTAGTGTTCTCCAGGGTTTTTTTGATTTGATATATTTTTATTATAAATTAAGTTTATGCAATATTACAAATAACAGATACGTCTCCACAAAAGTTGTAGCCCATTGTTTCATTATTTTTTTTTTCCTTATAATTTTAGTTAACAGTCTCCCCCTGTATCACTTCTGCTCTGGGTTGATGAGGCAAGTAGCATTAGCTATAAACATTTCAGGCTATAGAAAAAAACACATCAGATATTATGAGGGGAATGTACATGGCTTCAAGTTACATTTACCTCTCTGTTGAATTCCCCAAAAGATAGAAATGTTTTTATTTTATAGAATTTCTTAGGCAACCAAAATAAAAAAGAGCTCTGAACTTATAGAATTAGCTAGTTAAGTAGTATTTGCTGCTGAGGAACAGAATCCTCTTCAATTTATAGTCCTTGAAGGGCCTACACTCTGCTGGAGTTTTTGACTATTCCCATTTAATGTGGTTTGGTGAAATCTGAGGAAATTAGCTATCTATGGAATGAATAAACTATCAGATTGAGAGGAAAAAAACATAAGATCCTTCTCCATTGCTAAAATTAGCCTCCATGTTAAACAACAATTAAACATTTTATTATAAAAATTTGTATGCCACTCTATTGACAAACTGAAAGCTGGTACTGGATGAACATCTTTAGAAAGAAACCATTATGTTTAGGTGATGAGAACAGTTTAAAATAAGAATTTCTAAGCTTTTTGCAACTATTTGTTGAAAGACTGCTCTGTTCAACTCACTTGCCCTGAATATTTGCTTGGCTTGCTCTTATACTTCATTTAGGTTACTGATCAATGGTCACCTCAGAGAGCAACTCTCTCAATGCCCCTTCCTCCCAAATGTACTTCCCTACCCTGTGATTTCTGTACTCATCACACTAAGTTATTTCTTCTTAGTATTTATCACTCCCTGACATTGTTTCTGTCTGTATATATGTATGTGTGGCCTGCCTCCCTCATTAGAATATAGACTACATAAATGTAGGGACTTTTTGTTTTATTCACTGCTGTATCCCAGCACCTATGACAGTGTTTGGTATACAGTGTGAGCTCAATAAATTGTTGAAATAAATAGGTGTGTACTATATCTTCACAATTTTCTAAAACTTGCAGTGAGAGCTATCAGGCAACTGCATACTGAAGATATAAGTATTGTAATATATATATATTTTCAGTAATTTTGGAGAAACTTTTGAGTAGAACATGGTATTAGTAATATTGTAGTAGCTGGTTGATATTTTTGTTAAAATCAGGGAAACATGTATCACTAGGCTAGCCTCTATTTGTAATTGGACTGAAATTTTAGCACTCCAGCCAGATATTCTAATGTAATTCTTCTTATGTCTTTTAAGGCAATGCTAAATAGCATTTAAATGTTATTTGCATTAGTTTCAGACCTCTGCTAGCTAGCGAGATTTCCCTCTCTCCCTTCTACTACTCTAGCAATTCTGGACCCTTTTCAGAAGCGGGGTGGGGACAGAAGGTTCTGCTTTCTAGAATCAAGTTCTGTCATCCCCACCAAGCAACTATTTCAAAGCAAGGAGTTGTTCTGAGACATTTTTTGTGTCACCTCAGCCAGAAATGAGGGCTGGTAGTAATATCCAGTCATAATTGTTTTATTTAATTGGGAACAGCTTCAACAGATGAAGGGTCTCTATGTAATTTAATAGCAATATTAGAACAGTAGATAACTGATGTGGCAAAGATTTCTTACAAGAATTTTGTAAGCTTCACATATTACAATTTGTACAGTGATAATTTATCGTTTTGGAAAACATTGGCATAGAATTTGTTGTAATTTGCTTAAGGAACATAGTTTATTAATTTCACATATTTTTCAAGACAGAACAAAATGTTTATTAACGCTTTGGTAAGACTCAGGAATCTTCTTATGAAGCCTTTTGCATCTCCACCCAAATAATGGTATTGTTAGTATTTTGACCTAAGTTATTTTTCTCTTATATCAATTAAAATATTTTGTGAAACCTTAAATTCAATTTTATTTGTAACTAAGAACCAATTTTACCTTTGGTCACCTTCAATTTTAATTTTGAAATTAGTGTGAAAGTAGAATTTTTTAAAACCCCAGAAATTTGCATTTTTACTGAGTTTACTGGGGAAGATCTCTATTGACAAAGGATACCAGCTCTAGGATTTATTTAAAGAATTTTTATTATAAGTACATTAGTTACCTAATAGTGTGTAACAAATTACCCTAAAACTTAGCCATTTAAAACCAGACATTTATCATCTCACACATTTTGTTAGGGTTTGGAGTCTGGGAGTAGCTTAGCTGGTAATGGCTAGTGGTCTCTCATGAATTTGTAGTCAAATTGTCCTTCAAGGCTGCATCTGAACATTCAACTTAGGGAGGATCCATTTCCAAGTTCACTCACATGGTTGTAAACAGACCTTCTTCCTTGTTGACTGGTAACTGTAGTCCTCAGGTCCTCAGCATGTGTATCCTTCCATGAGCTGTCTGAGTGTCCTCACAACATGGCAGCTGGCTACCCATAGAGCGAGTGATCAGAGAGAGAGAGAGAGAGAGAGAGAGAAAGGAGAGAGTACATGTGTACACATCCAGTATGGAAGCTTCATCTTTTATAACCTAATCTCAGAGATGACATACCGTCATTTCTGCCATATCTTATTGGTCATGCAAACCAATCCTGATGTATGGGAGGGGATTACACAAGGTTGCGAATATCAGGAAGTAGAGCTCATGGGGGCCATCTTGGAGTCTGGCTACCACATTGAGTATAATACTAAGTCAGAAAATTGCATAAAACACATTGTTCATCTCAATGAATGACTGTGAATATCAAGAGATATTACAGACTTCCTCCTGATGTCCCTTCCCTCTCACAATTCTCTGGCTCTTCCCATAGGTAATTCCTATCTGGATTTTTACTTACAGCAACAAGGTAAAATCCAACCCCTGTTATTATATCATGTTTAGAAACAACTCTATCTACTTTGTTTTAATTCTTCCTAATTTCTCTCTTCATGGGGACACATTATTGTCATCCCCTTATTGACATGCATATTTCAGAGAAAGGCAGCTAAAGGCTGTGTCAATGATTGATTTCTTTTAGGAGCATCTGCAGCAGAAGGTTCAAAGAAGACTGATGCTGAACAAAGACCAAGAACAACACTGATCATCTGTCCACTTTCTGTATTAAGCAACTGGATTGTAAGTCTTTACAGCCCTTTAAAAATGCAATATAATTCATATTTTTCTTATATAAGGTATTCTGTTGAAGAGTCACTCATTGGGAGAGATATGCTTGGTCATAATTTTGTATCTAAGTTCAAATAATTATTAGGTGAATTAGATTATAATTGCTGAATTGAAGTAATTTTTCTCTGAAGATTTATGATAGAGAAAGTAAAGAAACATCAATTGCTATGTGAGATTTGGTTTATATTTCTGCCTCTGTCATTTTTTTTTTCCCCCAAAGTGGGAAAGGTGTATAATTTAAGACTCTGCCTTATTTATGAACTGACTGGTAGAACTCCCATTTCTAAAACCTCCAGTAACAATAGCTTATTTTTATAACAATATGTAAAATTTAGTGAGCTCCTGTGTACTTGGTTTGTCCTTAAACTCTTTTTATAGATTTTTCTCATTTAATCTTCACAACTATTATTTTCATTTTCCAGGTGACCAAATTGAAACACAGCTTAAGTATTAATAACTTGCTTAATGTCATCCAGCTAATAAATGATAGAGCTTGGGTATAGTCTCCAACATTTTGATTGTAGGGCCTATGCTTTAAAGGCTACCCACCAGAAAATTTTGTCTTTTTTCCCCCCAGATTACTTTTCTGTTCTAAAACATTAACATTGGAATGGAACCTCTTTATATGTTATACGTAAGGAGTAGCCTGGTTCTCTTTCCTTTCCAATTCAAGCTTTAGGCTTCATGTGATGAAATAATGACTCTCTTGGAAGCATTGTTAACATAAGGACCACTGGATGTGAACTTTCATTCTTGCCACCTCTGAGGTTATCTGTCTCTCTCCTGGCCATTCCTCCTCTTATCTCAGAGGAGGAAGAGGTCCTACTCTTTGTAAAACCAGTACCTTAGTGTGTACATTGGATTCCCTCTTTTCCTGCCTTTGCTTTTTATCTGTTCTTTTTTCCCCTCACCTGGTTATTCAGTCTCTTCCCACTGGCTCTTTCATGGTACATATTCACATCTTTTTCATTTTAAAATACTTTCTCTTGCTATGCACCTTTAAGTTGCTGCTATTCAGCTTTCCTTCACTGTCTCACCTCTCAGGGGTTAATTTCTACCTTGTTCTTTTATTTACTAACTCCTTAATTCATTGTAATCTGGCTTCTGCCACCAGATCTCTGAATTGCTTTGGAAAAGTTTACTCATAATAGTCTGTCAAATTCAGTGGCCTCTTGATTTTTATATAGCCTTTTTGACGATTTCTTATGTATTGACCTTATGTATTTCTTTTTTTTTTGGAGAGAGAGTCTCACTCTTTTGCTCGGGCTAGAGTGAGTGCCTTGGCGTCAGCCTAGCTCACAGCAACCTCACACTCCTGGGCTCAAGCGATCCTTCTGCCTCAGCCTCCCGAATAGCTGGGACTACAGGCATGCGCCACCATGCCTGGCTAATTTTTTTTTTCTATATATTTTTAGCTGTCCGATTAATTTCTTTCTATTTTTAGTAGAGACGGGGTCTCGCTCTTGCTCAGGCTGGTTTCGAACTCCTGAGCTCAAATGATCCGCCCGCCTCGGCCTCCCGGAGTGCTAGGATTACAGGCGTGAGCCACCGCGCCCGGCCTATGTATTTCTTTTTGGCTTTTTGTAGGCTTGTCTTCTATGACATGACTTATTTTTTTAATACAAGTTTTTGTTTTATTTATTTTACAAAAAGAAATTACACCTTCTGATTAGTGTATCATTTTTCCTCTTAGGACCAGAATGAGTTTTAGTGGTCTCTTGCTCTTTTTTTTAATTCCAATAAAACTGTGCTCTTCATACGTGCGGTTTGTTGCTGGAAGGGCAATACATGGGTACTTGAATGGCAGTTTCAGGGTCAGGTTTAGAAGTATTCATGGAGGTATAAACTATAATAGAGTTGTGATTCTTTAAGGGCTAGGGGTATGGGGGGGTGTATTTTTAAAATGGGTAATCAGTATTTCATATAATTTTACATTTGGAAAACAAAAGTTGTTTTAGGTAACATAAACTTCATAAAGGAAACCTTGGCAAAATCTTGCCTCCTGAAATTATGCAAAAAAGCTGTGAATTGAAAGGAATGAGGAATTGTTGAGCATATAGGGTTCATGATCAAGAATTAGAATTTCACAATCTATCAATAAGTTACTCTCTTCTTAGCTCCCAAGTAAATGACCTAGCATTTTAAAGAGCAGCTAGAACTAACTCATCTGCCCTTTTTTGTCTTTAAATAAGGAAAAGAACCCAGTTTAAGGAGTAAGACCTGGGTACTAATCTACCACATACTGGGGTGGATATTTAGATGTTATTTAACCTCTCACAAAATAACACCTATCTCATTTTCTGTTGAGAGGATATATGTACACACATATATAGAGCTTAGCCTAACACTGTGTCTAGAAATGCAGTAACTATAGTTGTCTTCCTTCTTTCTCCAGAAAAGTTGATATTTTTCTATTCTAAGTCTAATCTTTTCACAAATATGCTCTGTTCCATTTCAAGGCCACTCATTGATTCTATTTTCTCATATTGGCTTCTTTTCCATGCGGGATTCTAATCTTTTTTTCTCTACTAGACTTCTTAAAAATATTCTTTGCATTTTCACCTTTACTATTTCATGTTTTATCCTCTCTTCTCTAATTTTTTGCCTTTACTATTTCATGTTTAGTTCTTTCTTCAGTCCACAGTAGTTGGACTTTTGCTCCCACCCACCGTAGAAACTCCCTTTGCAGAGACCCTCAGACCTCACTGTTGTCATGTCCAGTGAGCTCCTCTTTTCTTTTCCTCTGCCCTGAGTATGTTACTCATTTATTACTCTTTTTGCTGTATCTTATTTCATAAGCCATCTCTAAACCTTTTTGTAAAGGCGGGGAATGAATATAAGTTACAAATTAAAAATCAACCTTGTTTTCCTTCCTGAAACTTTGATATTCTTTGGCTTCCCCTCCCAGGCCATATCTTTTGTGTTTGCTACCATAAATTTCTGACCAGTTTCTCTTGTCTTTGTTCTGGTTCCTATTACATCTGCCTTTTTTTCTTTAAAGAATGGAATTCTATTTCTTAAACTGTTGTGAAAAACTTTAATGAGGTCTCCATTTACTCATCAAGATTCAAGAATCACCAAAAATCTGCCACATATGCTTTCTTTTTCCTTTGCTGAAATATTTTTAATTATATCCCAGACATCATGTCATTTCTCCCAATAAAAGTAGAAGCCTGCTCTTTAAATATTGGTATTCTGTAGCCTCTGTCCCTGACCTTCTTTGCTCATTGTATGTGTTCTTAGGAAATCTCATTCATTCCTATGGGTTTACATGCTGTCTGCTATTTAACTTCCTACACTTCTCGCTTACACCTATGGGTAATTGTTTACATTCTCCTATTGTATTTTTCCAGTCAGGTATTCTATAGTGACCAAAAATGATACATGTCTAAAATACTCATTATCTCTTTCTCACCTTTATGCCTGCTTTCCCCTTGTTTTTAAAACTTCCCTATGTCTTTATCACACAGTTCTTCTAGGCAGTCATTTGAAGTCTCTAGGCATCTTTGTCTTCTCCCTTTTCTTCAGATCCCATTTTTAATTAGTCCCCAAGTCCCATCAGTCCCACTTTGTTAGTATCTTTCTTTCACACCAATCCTTTCCATTCTGTTCCTACTTGTGTCATTTTGGTTAAGGGCTTCATCATCTGTCCCCTAAGAACCTCACGGCTATGTCTCCCTGGTGTCTTCTCTCTCCAATCCAAACATAGTGTTTTTTTCTGCTCAAAATATCTCCAGGTCTGTTGTTTTCATGATTAAAAAAGAAATTCAAGGTTTTAAAACTGATCACGTCCTCAAGGTCAGGGATAATTTTTTGTTTTTCCCTTTTGGCTGTATCACTCTTGTGATTCATGTCTGGCAAATAGTAGGCCTACAATAAATGAATGAAAGAAAGTGGATACAGTTTGAATCTCTGCCTA